GGTTACTAGAAGCGATGCACTTGTTACTACTAGCTTCTTGTTACTACACCAACATTGACAGCATTGGAACTTCATCATTTCCAAAGAAACACCACACGCATTCACCATATCTCGCTCTCGCCCGCCGTCCGTTGGAACCAGCGCTTCCAAGGGGCAGCAAACGTTCGGTGATCGCTTCGGTGTGGAGCTGAGCCCACGGAGTTTCCCTATGGAGCTCAGCAAACGTCCTTCTTCAGGAAAGCGATATGTTTGTGCACCACATCGGCATCGTCACGCAGGCGCGTATAGTTGTGTGTTATGCAAGGAGGGCAGAAAGCACAAGCTAGGCTCGACCTGATTTCAAGTTTAGTCTTTTGAATGCCAGGCGAAGATAGACTTCGATCATCCCAGCGACATCGAATGGATTCTGAAGCCAGAGAGCGAGAGGCAACGTGACATCGTGGCAAAGATTTGACTCTTTTCAACACAATCTCACATGATCTCGACCTTGAAGCACAAATTGATTGGAGTGCCCATGCTTTGGCTGGCTGGGCCTGATTTCTGTTTGGCAAAGCTGCAACGATGGTGGTTGCAGGTGGGTCCAATCCATCAGCAGTGACCACCCCATGCTGGCCATTCAAAGCCGTACAAAGGGGAAGTGGCTAAGCTGCATACCTTTTGATCATTTTGATCACTATGCAAATAGTTCTTTACTTTAATTGCAAGTGACATCTCCGAGTCTCTGAGTTCAAAGGGGCTTCCAAAGGAGTTCAGATGAGAAATAAGACAAACATCAAAGATCTTCACGCAAGGTGTGATACTCCACATGACCTCACGGAGCTCCGGTGGACGGCCCAGCGGTCTGAAGAGGTCTTTTAATAGCAATGGCCTCCAACCTAGTAGGAATGGCCTCCAACCTAATAGCGATGGCCTTCAACCTAATAGCGATGGCCTCCATGATTTGAAAGATGGCGAACACTTGAAATTTGATGGATTGAGGATGAAATATGACGGAATTCTCGTGGGCACCGTCAAGCAGCAGAAGTTTGTAAACTCTGATGAGGAAGCGTCAAGCCATTCACTGTTTGATTGGCCGGGCCCACATCAAACTTTGGGTTGTGCTCAGTAGCGCCAAACTGGAGCTGTAATTACCACATTCACATCTCCAGCAAGGTTCCTCTAGATTCCTCCAATCTCATTGCGACATTGCATAGTTTGATGCTGTCCTGTGCTGGGTATTGGGTTTCAAAGGCTCATTCACACAATAACTTGAACTGTTGAACGTATTTTGGCGGACACAAATGCTGCTCGCATTGTGGAGCAACTTTCACGAGCACTCAGTCCACTATGATGCTTCCTGGATACGTCACACGATATGAGGGAACATGGGATAATATTGGAAAGAATGATCGATGTTTCAAAGTGTAAAAGATGGCGGAGCTGCCGCGCTTCGAAATCTTCGAACCGCAACGCCAGGATTTGAGGTCCTATTTGGGTGTCAGAATCTGAGTGCGTACGGTGGTGGGTGCACCTCAGCGCACAGTGCATTTGTAAGGTGCAGATGGATCTCAACAAGCTTAAGGCAGAGATGGACCGTGAAATCTGATTCTATTGCCATCTTAGCAGTAATGGAGATGAATGGAGTATGAACAGTAAGTATGAATCACAGGTAGTTATTTTACCTCCCGAAGCTTTTGCGGCCCATCTCGACCATGGCATTCTTCACGGCTGTGTTCTTGAGTGTGCTCACGACACCTGGCAGCGGCAGCGGCTGTGATGGATGCGACGCGGCTGCGCTCCTCCAACACCGCCGCCACGGCGGCGCCCGCGGTGGCGCCCGTGGCGGCCTGGCGCTCGCACTGGCCGGCGGCGGCTTCAAAGCTCAGGCGGCTTACGCAGGGATTCTTCCAGCGCTGATGAACGCCACTGAAAGCCTGGAGGAGTTGATGCAGTCAGTTGAGGTGAGCAGGCTGCAAAAATTGTGAATTGATGTGAGTTGTATGATTTTCAAGGGCGCAACTTTGTTCCAGACTGAGCTTGCTCCAGACATAACACTATCATATTATCATATTAATTGTGTCAGGGCCCCATTCCATGTGCCCATCAGGAAACAGACACAGCACAAAAGACATTTTTACGATCATTAGACACGGTCACCAAAGCAGCAGAAGGCTTGAAGGGGTGTTGCATTCAGGTGATTTCCTCGGCCAGTGCAGGAGGTTGGTTTTTTAGTTTATTGGCCTACTCGCCGAGCTATTTGAATCTGACCCGGCAAATGGCTGAGACGCCCACTGCGGCGGGTGAGCTCTACTGGTCGCAGTACCTCGAAAAGTTTTTGCTCGGCTTGGGGATTGATCCCAAGGCCTCGAAGATCGCAGCTCGAGAGCTAGCTGATGGGCCTGGTCCGACAAATGCCAAAGTCCAAGACGTTGTAGAGATTATGCTGGAATGGGCTTGGGCGACTCAAGGCATCGAAAGCAAAGATTGGAATGACTTCATCCAAGTACTCTTGACCGCCGGCCACTTAACTGGCCAGGAGTATTTGGGATCTCCGGTGAACCCATGGGCCTCGGGAAAAACATGGCTCGCGGGAACTTCGTTCTCAACACCTGGTCCTGGTGGTAAGGGCCCAGGTACTTGTCATGACAATCCCAACGCTTCAGGCTTCCTGTGTTTGTCTCCTTCACCCTTGGAAGCTTTGGTCTATGGAAATACCACACAGAACTCTCTCTCCTATTCCTGTGAAGGCAACCCTCCTTGGACTCCTGCACGTTTCAGCGTGGTCATGGGAAGCGGCCGAGATCAAGACTCGCCCTTGAGCACGTGTCCAAGTTGCGATGGCATTCAGCTGAAGTATACCCACCAAGCTACGACGGCCCCGATCGACTCGGTGATGGAATCTCCGATCTGGAACAGTAACCTGCCACTGGTGGATGCGGTGTCAAGCTCCTCAGCATTTCTGGGTTTGGTTCTCATCTTGCCATTCTTTGATGCCAAGGATTTGAAGACCCTCAGTGACCATCTCGCCAATTTGGTGGCCAGTTTGCCCTTCTTGGACACAGAATTCCAAGAACACCTTGCAAGTAACATTTTTAAGTTCTTGACCTTTGATTGGACCATGTGGTGCATGACTGCCTCTTCTTCGTCCAGTGCCTTTCGTGATGCCAATGAGTTGGTGGAAGATGTGAGGGACAGTGGAGGGAAGCTGAGCCCAAAAGGTTTCAAGAACTTAGCACAGCAACGTTTGATGGGTCTGGCAGATGGTACTTACACCGACAACTCAGGGATTGCCCACGCGGTGAGTTCGGGAGCCCAGGAGATCATTTATTTGGGGCTTACCAGCTCGGGAGACATGGCTCGAGACCTGTATCGGCTGTGTGGGGGCGAAAAGAGCGATCTTCAGGTCGTTGAAGTGGCAGATTTGAACTTCTGTCCCTTTTGTGAAGCTGACTTTCAAGTCTTCAAGGAAGATGTCTCTGCTCTTCGGAAGACGTTGGAGGAGGTGTCTCAGCTGTTTGAAATCTCCTCTCAAGCTTCCACACTCACAAGCATGCGAGTAGCCAGCGTCAATCTCACCACCGTCCAGAGCAGCTACTTCGACATCGAAGCAGACCGAGCCATTCTTCTTCACATGGTGGTGATCGAAAGCCCTTTATACATTGGTGGCTGGGCATATTCAGACTACGCCACCTTTGTGCAAGATATCATTGATACATTTCAGACTTCTAAGAACCAACACCTAGTGAAGCGGATCCTCAGCTGGTTTCGACCCCAAAGCGGGACCATATGATGAAGTGTGAGGCCGCGATGAGGTTTTTCTGGAACCTATGCAGCCACAAGTGTTGCCAACGTGTGATTCAACACATGGGAAGAAAAGAAGGCTCTCACTGATGCTTGCTTGATGTTGTTTCAATGAAACAGGTCAGTCCAATTGTCCTGCTTGGAGATTTGCCATTGATTCACAAGTTGTATTTCCAGAAGTTATACTCACGCCAGTACTCACCGCCAGGAAAAGGTTGGCATGGTTCTCGAAGACGAGGACGCGATCGAGCACCGACTTCCTACAGAAGGTCTTGTGATGATGTTGATGTGTTTGGCCTGGAGTGGCGTGGCAGATTTGGAGACCACACAGAGACTTGCACAGATTTGGACCATTCCAGTGTACTGTTCTGCTTGATTTGCTTGCCGGTTCCCTTGATCTGCCCACCTTTCAAGGTCAAAGCACTTTGATGACCTCGTCTGAGCATCATCGCCACTGGAGACGTTTCACCAAGGCCAGGCCACGCTTGTTTGACACCGGATGAAACTTGCTGAAGAGCAAGTCAGACACCAACATGACGAAGTATGGCAAAGGTGGAGTTTTCTGAAGTCTTTCAATCATGAATTTCCCTAGGACCCTAGGAGCAAGAAGCTACTAGGGGCTCCTGGCCTTACTACTAGGAGCAAAGGACGCCATATCTGTGCCTTTCGCACGAACGCTTTGGTCGCACGAAGGCGATGCGCAGCCACGCCGATGAGCCGGATTCCGGGCAAATGAACGGATACCCCTCGGAGTGGAACTTGATGGATGTGAGCCGCGACATGTTTTGCGATCATTGGCTCCCTTGGGCGAACACGACCATATGGCAGATATATACGTACGTACAATTTTTTTAATTATGAGGTATATTATATGCAGAAATGCAGTAGCAGGTAAAGGTAGGTAAGCTAGTAGGTGAACTTTGTGCCAGGTGAAGAAGTACTTGGCCCAGCATTCTTGGTGGTTGAGACTCCACAGAGCTGGCCTTAGTCGCAGACCAGAAGTGTGACTTGGAAAAGGTAGCGGTCGGATCCACCTATCTGTTTTCGAGGCTGGGATACAGAGCGAGAGGCGAGCAAGGCAGAACCAGAACCTGCCTCACCGTCCACAACCATTCCAGTCTCCGTGGATGACAGTCCCCATTGATCCACAGTTCACTTCTTTCTGAGTGACTTCGAAGAGTGCTGACTGAAGGTAGCCACAGAAATGGCAGCAAAGCCTGCATTGAAGCTGCCACACAAGTGGTCAAGTGCTTTGCAAACACGCGAAGCTTGCTTCACTGGAAAAGAACGGTTTGGAAACGCCACGCCCTCGTGGCCTTCAGACTCTTGTCTCTGAGCAGTTTGGACTCTTCAAGCCAGCAGACTTGGCTCAGCTTGGCTGGTGTGCAACATGGTTACTTTGCAGCAAGATCAGTGTCAAATCAGTTCCCCTACTGAGCCGACAGTGCCGATTCAACCAGCTGGCAGTGCCTTAGTTAGAGCATAGACTAGACATGGAAAGCAAAGGTTGAGCAGTCTTGAGCACTCGAAACGATGAGAGCAGTTCATGGTGGGACGAGAAGGACAAATGCGATTCAGCAACACTCCTTTCTCTCCCCAACTGATCATCAAACATATCTCAACAATTCCTGGCCACTCAAAACAAAAGATCTGACATGAAACCTTAGTATCACTTAGCTGACTTTTCCACTGAACGAGACTTCAGCTTTCGTGCTTTCCGTTCCCAGTGTCCAGGACGTCCAGTCAGCTGTCCTTGCTCCATCCCACGGAAACTGCGATGGTGCTCAAGGTGAGGGTCCTGCGGGTCCTGCGGGTCCTGCACCTTTTTGACCAATGAATTCCAAAGAGCTTTGCTTGTTGCTGAGAGAACTCGTTCTTAAATGCAGACACTTGTTCATTGTGAGATCATAGAATCGATCCTTTTCGCCGTGGTCCAGTCACAACCAGCCATCACCCTTTGAGCACTCAAGATAGCACTAAGAAATGACGAATCAACAATCCTGGTCAACAATCCTGGTCGACTTCTGTTGTTTCTACAAAGGCTAGATTGGCAAAGAGCCCAGCGAACCTGACTGCAGCACCAGCTCGTTTCGGTAGACAGCCTGCTGTCTTTATTCCTAATTCTACTGAGCTTTCATATTCCGTTGGTGCAATCTCTGCCTATCAGCAAATCGTGAACTCTATGACAAGTTATTCAAATAACAGGACACCCGCTTTCTCGGATCGCCCCCATGGATGGCTTCGGACCCTCCGAACGCATGGGAGAGCCTGGGCGAGCAGAGTTTGCGATCCTAATTAGGAAGAAAGGAGAAACACAAGAATGATATATTTTTCTTCAATCATGTTTAATAAACACGTCTGTTTTGTTCCAATTTACTTTCAATACTTTTGCCTCCCAAGTTGTTGGGAGACTGACTGCATGCACTGCATGGTAGAGCCTTTGTCACCACAGCAGGAAATCAAGAGAAGGCTTCCAGATTCGGCGAAGTTTATGTACTTCATATTTTCGACTTTCGAGATCATGCCACGACAGCTAAGCCTTTTTCCTTCACATGTCGTGTGAGGGTTTGGGTTAACGGTTAGCTTCATGAAAATCTCTAGAACACACTGAAAAAGACCATGGCATCTCAGTATACTTCAGTTTATTTTGACCGGTTTCCACCAGCCCAGTCTTTTTTCGGTCTGTGTCGAGCGACCACTTCGCCCAGGATCGGACGGGAGCGAAGCAGAAGCCCTCGGATTTCAACGTGTCCGGTGGCAGGTTGTGGGAAAGGTGCTGCGAATGCCGTGGGCGGCTCAGAAGAGAAACACCAAGTTGTGAAGAAGTCATCCCTGAGCGCAAAATAGATTCAAGTCAATTCTAGTGCAGATCAGTTGGGGGCGGTGCCAAGTGCTTCAGAGTGGCTTGGTGTACAGGTGGGCGAGATTTCGCTGCAAGGGATGGAGGCGCGACGTGTCTTCTTTCCTCGGAATGTTGACGTTGCTGGGTGTGCAAGGCCAATGGATGCTGTCCCGGAGCTTGCGGCTGCTCGCCCATGATGGGACCTGGTCCCATGATGAATCCCATGATGCAGATGCAGCAGATGCAAATGATGCAGATGCAGCAGATGCAGCAGAGACTTTGCTCCAGCTAGAGTAATTGTGCTCCAGTTAGAGTGTTTGCAGGCAAACAAACATTTTAGTTGAATCTCCTCAAGGGCTCAGACTCAGGATGGTCGGGATGGGCATGATGATGGGAAACATGCTCAACATGATGAGCGGAGTTTCCAGCGCAGTTCCCAGCTTCGACAACAGCCTGTCTGTTCCCCGTGTCCAGCCACAAGAAGTCGAAGAAGAGGACGGCGGGAGGGCAACTTGACACAGGTTAAGTGCTGCTTGCTGTTATGATGTGATCAATCAATGATCCGATGTGATCAATGCTCAAGACATTGCTTTCAACAGAGAATGAACAAACAACACTTTCCCTGACTTGGTTCGAGTCTTTTCTTCTCTAAGGGATATTCTTCAAGCCATGTTCTGTCAATATCTTGACATGTAGCTCATGCCTTGCTGCCCTACATTTCGCTTCAGGAGATCGACATTCCTCCAGGTGGCTTGTGCATGCTGCTTTCCAAACGTGTCAAGAAAACGTATGAAAACGCCGCATGCTCGCCTTGTCGCTTTCACATGCTGTTATCTTGGCATATCTGATCGACCTCAGGAGCCTCTTCAACCGTTGGACACCCCAACTATCGCCCCCCCGGAGTCCGAACAGCTGCTCGGCGCGGAGCGCTACCCGACCCACCGGACTGCTCGGTGCGGCGGGACCAAGGATTCCCGGCATCACCGACCAGCGCTTTGAAGGCAAAATCAAAGTCTGGTGGGAATCCAAGGGGCACGGCCTCATTGAATGCGAAGAGGCACATGGAGTGTGCACGTGACGGCGCTTGCTTGGTCTTGAAGGTTGATATGTCTACATAGAGCGAATAAGTTTTAACCATCGATTTTGCATGAAGCAGTGGTTGTTGACCATTTGTTGGCTGATTCGGGCAGGTCCGCTTGAAGTTCCCTGGGCAAGATGGCGTCTTCCTGCACGACTCGCAGCGGCGGCACTTCAAAAAGGGGGACGCGGTGACCTTCGCGGTGTGCCTCGGAAGCAACGAACGGCCGAAGGCCACGGCGCCAGTTCGGATGGGATGCTCCGAGGTTCGTGAACTTCAGAGGTCGACCACAAGCGACGGAGCTAAGACGTCGGACTGAAAAAAGAAGCTCGCACTGGGACTGTGAAGAAAGAAGGACCATTTATATATCTATATTGATTATACAATATTATGCATGTTGGGGAAGTGTCTCGTGTTGGAAAAAGGCCATGCATCACGCTTGAATCCATGTGAGATCCATCAACTGCACAACGTCCGACTTGAGGCCAGAGCGACTTGGGCGGCCAGATGCCACGAACTCAGCATAAAGACAAAGTTGTTATTAAGAAAAGACTGTTCAAGTCGTTCATTGACGCGCTTAAGTTCAGATGCTTGTCATCTAAGTTTGTGACCAAGTTGAGTTAGTTGCTGTCAATCGTTCCTCACTTGAACATGTTTTCAATAAGATTGCACTAGCAGTCACTACCTGTGCCAACAGTTGTGCGGTAAGAAAGAGTAGTGGGGAGGTTCCAAAAGGTTCCCACAAGGACCGTGAAGGATGGGGAGGTCAAGTTCGGAACTTGCTCACAAGAAAAGAGAGAAGACAAGACAAAGAATAGAGAGAACTCCAAGAGGAGACTTTGATGTTGTGTATTCTTGATGGGGAGAACACTTGCTAACCCAAGCAGCCAAATGATATCCTGCTTCGTTGTGAGAATAACAGTTTCAGAGCCAGGTAAATGTATAATTCTCTAAGGGGAAGCCGAGGGAACCGGGAAGCAAAAGAGAAGGAAAAGGAAAAGGACATCAGAGCAAAGGAAAAGGACAGAAGCAAGCGCAAAAGACTTCAGACCTCTGGGAGGGGTGATATTTGCTGTTGCAGTGGAGTTTGTTACTATACGCAGACAACAACGAACATTGGATGCACATGTTTATTGAGTATCAGGTCGCTTTGTATAATTCAGGGCCCTTGGATTCGCTGTGGCTGTGACTCACCACTGTTCCTTGGTCCTTGGTCACTAGATAAGATGTCACTGGGTTGCTTTGTCAAGACATCCAACCTACTAGCAACGGCCTCCAACCTACTAGCAATGGCCTCCAACCTACTAGCATTGGCCTCCAACCTAATAGCATTGACCTCCAAGGTCTGTTTGGTCCACGTGTCCCAGTCTGCCCATGGATCTTCCGTGGAGGTGCGAGTTGCAGCGGCTTCGCAGCAGTCGCGATTCCGTCCGTTGGCAGCGGAGCCGAGATCTGTTGCCGGGAAGGTCCTTGCTGATGGTGAAGCTTCAAGGCTGGCCCATGTGCAGCACTCGCACTGCCATTCGCACGACTTTGTATCCCAAGTCGCTTTGATATTTTGCCACAACCAGGCTAAGAGCTACGTACCCACTTTTCATTTGGAAGACTTAGTAAGGATCGTTCCAGCTCTCCAGTCCTCGAACCGATGAACCACCCTGCGGCCGATGAACCACCACAGGAACACAGACGACAAGGGCAACGGCCATGGCCACGTGACCTTCTCTGCATGGCGCCGACCCTCCTTGCGCCAGCTACGTGAGTTCAGCCTGCAGGTGCCCCATCACATCCTACATGTTTCTACAAGTTTTAAGATCCCAATATTGCAATTATATAAGATAATTACTGCATGTAGGACATCCCAGTTCTAGGGCCTCCAGAATTTGCTTTCATCAAGTGCTTCCCTTCGACATGTTTTTATTTCATCAGAAACTCTGGCTCAGACTTACTGCTGATATGTGCAGGGGGTGAAATTCTATGCCTTCACCGTTCCACACGAGAACACCATACAGGCCGGATCTCACTTTGTTGTGAGAGAGAGAGGGAGTGAGCTGTGGAATCGTCGGATGTTGTAGGTGGCAGTGTGGAGACAACTTGGTGATGTGGTAGCAGCAGGATACAGGCGATACTTCTGGAACGCCGTAGAAGTGTTGTGTGTAGAACATGGATCATCCCAATTCTTCTGGAGGTCTTCCTTCGATTCCTCTTTGCCGATTTTGGCCCTATTCTTGGTATTTTCCCTTATGCATGGTAGGTCGTCTAGTGTTACGGTTGTAAGAGCCAACCGACCGGAACACCTGAAGCAGTGCTTGCGGATCACCCTTGATTCTGGCGATACTCAGGTGAAAGTGGTGGCTCCGGAAGACTCACTTAGTCCTGGGAGGACTCACTCCGTTGGATTTTGCGTCTAGTGGAAAGTGAGGCTCACAAGCTATAGACAGTGTTATCCTCTAGTGCTTGCGAGGATAGCGGCGCGGATTGGACCCCTAGCAGACCTCTACCAGCGGAAACCCTTTGACAGGACTGGGTGGATTTTGTATGTCATAAATATGTTTTTGCTGGCATTTGATGTACATGATTTCAATAGTGAGGACACCTATTTCGGCTTTTTGTACCGATAGACAAACAATGTTCGCATTAACGCAGGAAGACTTGGGTCTATTGGGAATCCTTCTGGGTGCCAGGCCTGGCTTCGTAAAAGTCATGGTGTGGTTGGGGATCGAACCTGTCGCACGGAAGGGCGCCTGTCTCACCAGCTGGTGGGTTGAGTACAATTGATAGCTGCAGACGTAGGCCTACCAATTTGGAGCTTGCAGGGGTTTATGAACATGCCTTTCATCAAAGGGGGCAACTTAAGAGATGAGATGATAGGAATGGCTCGCTGGCAGTTGTGTGCATGTTTAACGAATTTATTCCCATGTATACTGCACCCCGCAGCCTGTGGCTCCGAAACATCATATTCTCTATGGTATTGATGTGTTGCAATGCCAAGGGCAAGTTTGCGATGCACCAGCATGTCGGAAAGCTGCGGTGCAGTTTGTGTGGACACTCTGCATCAGTTTGTGCTGCTGGCCAGGTTATGTCGAGTGGGCTGTGTTACCATGCATGAAGATTAGTTTACTGTAGTAGTTTGCTGTCATTGAAGAGGAAACGCGTCTTGACTTCCCTTTAATCTGAGCTTGTAAAGTGGGTAGACTATTCGCTTCACTTCAGAGTGCCCCACGGCCAGATGAGTTCGGTTGATGCAACTGCGTCCATTCATTCTGACAGTCGCTCTCAGTGCTCACCAGGCCTGGCCTGCGCGAATCTCCGCCGTTGCTTTAGCTGTCTTTGCCTCAGAGCTCTAAGAGTATTTCGGTATTTCAGCTAAAGCTGGTGTCCAACTTGTGGAGTCCAGCCACCGCAAGCTGGTCGCACGACGGGGGTGCAACAAACCTGTAAAATGCTCTCGCAATTCCGAGCCATCGCCACATCAACCCTAGATGAATTGAGCCAGCGCGTGCTACAAACAAGTCTAGTTCTATGGCTCTATGGCCCGTTCGTGAACGAGAAATCCAACTCGCAGAGGTGGAGTTGCAATCGTTTTCCGCGTTTTGCATTGTAATTGTTCCTTCCCCTCTTCGGGATGCAGCGAGGTGGCAGGGAGAGTATCCCCTATGGGGATTGGAGCTACAGCGATTGTGGCGACAGTGACGGTGGTGATGATCCGTCGTTGTCAGACGGACATCCTGCTGATCCAGGCGCTGATGGGACGATGATTCTTGCTTCAAGTAGCAGGTTTTGATTTCCGGTTGGGCTTTCTCTGTGGAACTAGGGCAATATACTGGGGGTTTGGGTGAGGAATGAAGTCGTCATTGTAAGACTTATACCCTCAAGCTTTTAAAGAACAAGGTTGTCCTTGCTTCTCAAACGAGCTTCCTGCGTTTCTGGCTTTCGCTGTTTTGCGTTTCTGGGCCTACCAATCGGCCCTCAGAAGTAAACACCAAATGCATTGGAGACGCCAACCTGTCAAGCTGATATCATTTGAGGCAGCGCGCTCCCAGCTAAAGCTTTCATTTCAGTAGTCCTGAGGCCTGGTTCTACGGCAAGCTCAATGGCGGCCGACTCATCGGCAGGGAGCTTGGGGAAAGATGACGCCACGCCTAGCAGCGGGCAACAGCAGAGAGGCCTCCCAGCGCCAGACTGACTCTCTCAGTGGCTGGCTTGCTTTGCTTTGCTCCCTTCTCTTTGCCCTGTATACCTTCCCTGCTCTTGCATGTTCTTGCCTGTATGCCTTTGTACTACCTGTTGACCAATTTCTAGTGACATGCCTTGGTATGCATGTTGTAGTACTGTACCTATGTAACAGAACCAGAACTAGAACCCTAAGACAGTCTTATCGTCTTGAACAGTCATATCTAGTTCAGTACAAACCGACCTAAACCAATCTAATCAAATCTAACGAACAACCAATCTAGCTAAACCAATCTGATCTAACCGGGACTTGTATGTATGTCTCTATGTCTGTGGTTTGCCAAATCCACCCGTGTTGCGTGAGCTGCCGCTGCATGGGAGCGATCCCACGGCAACACGTCAAGGCCCCGAAGAGAGCGTGGTTCTGTGCAGTCGTGTGGCCCGACGACTTGTTCCACACGCCTCGTGCAGCAGAAAAATTGCCTTGCTTGAGCGGGTGTGTGTGTGTGTGTGTGCGTGTGTGGCGAGTGTTTGAGGCTAGGCAGTTGATGTGGCATCAGTCAACATACTAACTCAGGCGTGACCTTGGTATTGGCACCGATGTCGGAGTTTGTGATAAGGTTGACTGTGTGTAGCCTCACGCGACGCGGCGCCAGGCAAAGTGGGAAAGATGTGCCTGAAGTCTTTCCAGCATGGTTGGTGCACTTTTTAAGAGCCGGGCTGGTGGCAAGACATCTTCTGAGGCCCTTGGAAGCGCAGTCTTCCGTAGTGCTGTACGCTGGACAGGTGGTGGCGCTGTTGGAGTGGGGAGCGCTTCCAACGTGTTGCGCCTTGAAGCCGCCCTATGTTGCACGTTTTTTTGTGATTTCAGGTGCCACGGCCACGTCATTCTGCAGCAGTGTCAACTCAGGCGGCCGTTCTTGTTTCATTTGAGTTCACATTGTTGTGGGACTCTGGCAGGACCTTGCAGCACTTGAATCGAAGGCACCGTGTCGTTTATTTTTCCGTGTGTTCTGTTTGACTGTCCTGTTTTTTTGCCGCGTATTTTGTGACGCTTTACATTGTTTCGGTCTTTCAAAACGAACAACTTCAGTGCTGTCCACAGGCCCACGCCTTTGCTGACATCTACCGCAGGGGAGTTCACGTGACCTGTTTTCATTTGGTTGGACCTTCAACACGAGGAGGGCCATTGCAAGGCAGGGACCCACAATTTCCGTATCTTGTTGAACAGCCAGGTCTGGCCTGGAATTTGTTCCCGGTCTGGACCTGGGTGTGCCACTCAGATTGTTTCAGCGGATTTGTTGTTTGTCATCACGACTTCATGGCCATGGGTATCGGGTTATGTGTTCCAGCCATTTGCCACCACAAAGCAGGATGTCTATGATTCATGTGCCACTTAGGGTAAAAAAATTGTTGCTGCTTTAAAGAGGGCAAACAAAGATGCACTTGTGACAACATGTTCAAGAGTTCGCAGTGGCATAGTGGCATCACTACAGTGCAGCATACGGAGCCAATCATGTCCGAATCCAACAATTTCTATTTGGAGACCGCTCACAGTGTCACAGCACCAAATGTGGCTGATGGTGGGAACCTAGCTTTCTAGTGCGCTCCTCAGAGCAATTGTGGAGGTCTGACTTGGCACATTGTTGACGTATTTTTTGGTCAGTCTGATTTGAGCCGTTCTAGGCCACATGATCCAGATGCTTTCAAAATATTGATGGACACAGTTATCCAAGGAAAAACGTATGGCATTTGTGTTTTCTCAGTCTTTTCAGTGTCTGAGGCATGGCAGGAAAGGTTTCCGTCTACACAAAGGGTGCAGAGGAGGCATTTGTTTCTCAAATGCTTTGCGGTTTTGGACCGAATCTGCTGGGCCCTACTAGGCACTGTGAGTCAACATGCATGGCTCGGGAACCGTGCCTTGCAGAAAAGATTCATTTATATATAATTAATATAATGCTTTTGGGAGTGGAGATTGAGTGTATGCGTGGCCCAGATTGTTTGCCAGGTGCCACAAGACCGGGCACGTTTGCTGGCAGGTGCCCAGGACGGCTCCTGGATAGACCTATCCTTGACAGGCTCTACGCAAGTTGCATTCGGAATCTGGAGCGTGTTGCCTTGTCGACAATCCAAATAGGATCGTTGGAGAAACTCTGGGTAGGCTCGAAAAACATTCACCAAAAACAGATGGTTGACATTATGAGCCGAATGCAGGAGGCTTTGTTTTCTGCTCCCAGCAATGAGGCCTGCCACAATCAAAGATTGAAAGACGTCTCCTGTGGGCTAGAGCAGACCTCCATGATGGATCCACAAATCCAATCCCAGCTGCCTGGACAGGTTCGTCACCAAGAATCCTTCGAAGGCGCAATAGTTTCTAGGATCGTTTGAAGTTGGCGTGAAACTGTCATGCAGCAACTCGGTGACTTCTGCCGGAGAAGGAAGCGAGACTTGGGATCCAGTGGGGCTCTCAGCGCACAAGCATCTGACCGAATTGTTGCAAGATGGTACAACAATGCATTTTGGAGATACAAAACCTGCAAAAACACCATAGGGGACCACCCTTTTGTGAGTCAAATGTTTCTTCCAGGCTTCAACACAGTTTCAGACTTCTAAGCTGACTGGCGCGACTGACGGCGTGATCAGATTTTGTAGGGATGCGCCGCTGAGTCCTTGGCAGACTTGCCGGAGGATCATCCTGAAGAGGCTTGGCAGAGAACACATTTTCTCCTGATAGGGAGTGTACTTATTGGGCTGCGAGACAGGATCCAGAAGATGATGAGGCAGTGTACCTCTCTGAGGAGGGGCTGGTGTGATGGAAAGCCTTCTTTGGCAGCCGCTTTGTCTTTGGATGACTCGGTTTTGGACTCCAAGCTTAAGCGAGATCCTGCATTCTTCGCTGGTTTAGGGTAGTTGCTACAGCAAGGTTTGACTCAAGATTCGCAGGTCCAAGAGATGTATTGACCATGCGTTCTGTTGCAATGAAAGGCCCATCGGGAATGGGAGAAGCACTACCTTCGCCGTTTGGCCATGAGGGTACGCTTAAGAATGTCCGTGTCAAGAATGGTTGGTGCTGTCATGTGTTTTCTAGATTTTTGTCTATTTCTTATCAACTTCTTATTTTTTTCTCCTTCTTCTTCTTATTCTTGCTTTTCTGTTCTTTGCGAGACAACTGTTGTGAGCGATGGTGAGATACATCGCATGCTGGCCGCTGAGCTTGATCGTTCTGAAGAGGCCGATCACGTTCGCTCCGAACGTGGACAGAACGGTTCGGTTTACAGTGGGCCGCGGGCGGCATTTTGACAAAACCTCTGCTGAGCATTCGGCTGAATGACAATCATGAGCCTTTTTGGAAAGGAAACCAGGTTGGAGCTGGGAATCGTGAGGATAATCCATCGCGTTTGCATGTTTGCCTTTCATGTCGTTCGTGCATTGGACCCCTCGGGAGGCTCTCTTCGCCATCTTCGTGCAGTATGATGTGAACCTTGATGGTCAAGTCCGGGGAGACGAATCTTCCCAGCTTCTCAAGGCAATTTGCTGCACTTACGAGAAGGGTTTGGTTTAGAAGAAACGAATCAACAAAATTAAACAACATAGTTATAAGAAAGGGAATTCTTTTTTAGGGTTTAGGGAGACTGATCCAGCTGGTTCGATCCAACGTCTCGATGAGTCTCACTGCCTCGTCTGGACAACAGGCCATCGAAGATGTGGCACCTGGAAGTCTCAGCGAGAATTCGCCTGCCGGAAAGGATCGGAGCGATGTTTCCAGCGATGTTTCCCGATGATTTCCCGTTTCTCGCCAACTGCATAGAACTATCATGAATTGTTAACGATTTTTGTTCTGAAAGATCCAAGTCCTTGTCAGGATGGCAACATTTCTTTGGTGTCCTTGCTGCGCTGGTACAACAAGCACATACATCAGGCATTGCGGACAGGGTTCAAGAGCTTAAGAAATCTTATCGGCCAACCAAGCAGCCGCGCAAAAAGATTTTGTGCCCGAGCAGCCAGTCGAGCTTCAGCTTCAGTGCCACCACGCTTTTGACCGGCGTGCTTGGCAGCGGCATGGTGGGCTGTGATGCTCGACTTCAGGCCAGACATCTTGATCCTTAGGTAAGGTAGAGCAGATAGAGCGGGTAAAGCTGTGCTTCATCTTCTTTTGAACAGATAGTGTACAGTAGACATCCATGGATGGAAGCCAGAACGCTTTTCGACTCCTCTTCTTTGGCGATAACCGCTGAGATGCTTTTTGTTTGGGGAGTGGAGGGCTCTTTTTGCTCACTGACGTCTGAGAGCCTTCTGGCCACTTGAACACAGAGTTTGGGAGGACAACATGCAGTTTGACTTCAGACAGAGGGATCCTTATCCAACAATTTTTCACACATTATCAATACAATCGCATACTATCAAGCACCTTAATTCAAAAACAATGCCGACGGTGTGAGTGTGAGATTTCACTGTCCAGGGCCTCGACTGGATTCCTCTTCGGAGAAACGTGGCATGGCTGAAGATGGCCTTGCACTCTTGGAGCTTTCCTCTCTGGGTTATCCTTGGCGGGTGAGCTTGTCTTTGCTTCAGAGTGTGGTCTTTTTCTTGCACCTTCCTGTCCGAGGACCCGGTCAACGAGCAAAATGTGTTGTTTTTGGTTCGAGATTGGTACGGTGCGGCATTCTGCGCTCTGGCCACACTGAAGGTCATGGGCTATCGGCGAATCTACAGCCAACTGCGGGAGTTGAAGGCCACGTTGGATGTGCTAGCTGCGGGAGTCGTAAGTGCCCTGCAGATCGCTGCAGTGAGTTTGCGCCTTTGCAGGAAGAGAAACTGTTGTCCATCGTCCAGGACAAAGAGAGGCTGCCTGAGAGAAAGAGGGCGTCAACCCATCAAATGCCATACTGATCATACTGGTAGCTTAGTGTTGCCACATCCAGTTTGCAAGATATAGGATGTGAGAAGGTAACTTAGGGTCTCCCTCCAGTATTGGCATAGACATAATTCCTTCATGTTGATGTATCTTCAGCACGTACACATTCTGTATGTTTGGACGCTACTAGGGGCTCCTGGCCTGGAGCAAAGACGCTACTTGGGGCTCCTGGCCTTACTACTAGGAGCAAGGACGCTAGTAGGGGCTTTTGGCATCGCTATTAGGAGCAAGGACGCTACTAGGCACACCATTCTGGGTGGGAAGCAAAAAGTTGCCGGTGCCGTTCAACACCAAAAGTGGTCGTAGCGGACGAGACCATGCGGATGTCAAGCAGCGAAACATGTCGAACGTTGAACTCGGACCCGCTCGGGCAGTCAAAATGGCCTCCTGGAGACGATGCCCGAGCCGAAGCCCCAAAGAGGCGAAGGTGGTTAGACATGTCATGCTGTGGTCGTGCTTGAAATTGCAATCAAAGGTCGTTTTCTAGAAAGTTTCTCAGATTTTCTCAGTGTTTGTCCCGTTTCTTTTTGCAGGAGCATTCCGTTGCTGTATGTCAGTAGCACGTTTAAGCCACTTTTGGTTGTCATCTTCGGTTCAAGTATTGGTCGCAACTTTCCCGAGCAGTGGCTTTGTATTGCTATGTTGCTTGGAGGTAGTTTGATGGTCACTGATCAACCGCCAGTCTGAAGACGTAACTCTGTACTAGGGCCACAGGATCCTCAGGATGCGATGTAAGCAAGTCAACCATGATGCACCCATAGAGGGTACATTAGTGACTTCAGCATGACAGCAATGATTGCAAACCAAACTTGCGCTGCGGAATGGCCGCCAGATAGAGTAATTGAAGTACTGTGGATGTAACATGATATACTGTAGTACGTAACTCAATCGCCAAACAAGTGGCTGTGAACAACAAGCCAACAATTGGATAAGGTACTATCGCCTCTTGGCGAAGGAGTTTGAGGGCGATATGGAACTACTTTTTGAGCTCTTCTGTGAGGCACATGACTTTGGGGAGTCAACCGCATCTCCACTTGGTCAATTTTTTTGAGCACAATGGAAAGACATGGGCGGAAGCAACGGACATCTGAAAGATCCTCCAATGAATTGCTTGGATCTCTGATGTCTATCTCATCTTTCACTAGGTTGATGAATCCAACAACCTTCTACTGGAGGAGAGGGAGGCTAGAGAGTGACGGAGCTGGTCTTGACTTGTTGCAAATAGTTTGATGTAGTACGTAATAACTCATTAGGCTGATGTCAGACGCTGTTTGATGTTTGTGCAAATCCTTTAGCGTTTCCAACCTCCAGAAACGCTTGTCCAACTCGATTGACGAACAATTGGTCGATGTCAG